CGTTACGTCATTTGTTTGTGAGAAAAACGTCATCAATTTTTGAGAAAACGACACAATTTTCGCACACAAACCAATGACGTAACAATCAAAACCAGCTCACAAGAGAAGATAATTCTGCAATACGCAAAGACGGAATACTTGTCGAAAAGGGCATTGTCGATTACCTACACGTATTAGGCTTTGTTTATTAAAATTTTGTTTACCCATTGTACACATATTTCCGTTTATTCCCAAAGTTTTCAAACTCCTAGAAGTAAATTTCTTCATTCAAATTTTCCTTCTTGGTTTCCTTTCTAATTTATTTAATTAATCAACAATACCGCTACTTTGTTTTCTAAGATCACATTGATTTTTCAGACATGTTATTTTATCACTTATTTAAAGTACTATTACTTACTTACTGATTTGTTTTTAAGCAGATAGCTAAGAAACTGTAATGTGTCACCCCCGCCTATACGACCAGTTTTCACTTGATAACAAACGTAAAATGTCAATTTTAGAGTCCAAAATGTGTTTGTGCGTGAGTTTTGAATAATGATTGTTCCAATTAAAACTAAAGCCCATTGCAGAAATGACATGTAGTTTCACGGTTATGTTTTGGTATCGGCTTCTCAAGGTCCTCCAAAAGACCTCTCAGAATCGCCATTTTGGAAGTTGGAAATGAATGGGCGGGAGGCTTGAAACTAGATGCGTGGGTATTTATACACTCTGTATGCTTGTAAGATACAGTAATTTGGTGGACGTGGATTAATGAATGTTTGTAGAATGTATTGCTCACATTTATGGGCAAAATTGATGTCTTTTCGCCGGTTGGTGAGGCTGCTTTTAATCCGTAGTTTTAACAGCATAATAAACGACTTCTAGATGTATTCTCATAAATGTTATGTGTTTGTGCACTCTTCTTTAGAGCGGCCATTATGAAAGGTTATACAAGGTTTAGAAGGGAGCCTCTATGGACCTCTTCCGAGTTGTAATATTTCGAAGGTTATAAGTTCAGTCGGATCGCACCTGTTTCTTCAGTTCATCACTGTCTTCGCTGGCAGACGGTTGCCCGTAGACAGGTTAGACTTAGGATTCTCTTACCCTTGACAAGTGCATCCGCACTTTTACCGGTGTGAGATTTCCTTTTCTAGCAGCTCAGACAGAGATATCCCACGTCATACCCCATGCTTTATTTTTCTATCTCGTCCGATCTGTAATTCACCTTTACGTGACATTGCGCGGAATTTTATACTGCGATGTATTCATCCGCGCGTTAGCTGCTTAAAATTGACAATCTGCATTTAAATGTTCTGTTTTGTTGTTATATGTATAGTTTTGATGTTTTTAGATATTTGATGTTGTTGATAAAATATAATCTACACTGTGAAATACGTTGTCATCTATGTAAGAACGGACTACATATTTACACGGAAAATCACATGTAGCTTAAGTAGTGAAGAGGTCAATATCATTTGAGGACCCCGACGGGAAGTTTTTAGCAAAATGGATTTTTTTTCGAACTAAAAGGTGCGAGAAAAATACCTCTAACTGAGCAAGATCGGGTTATCTCAGTCTCGGGCTAAGATTCTGTAACATCCCAACCTCGGCTTACACCTCGGTTGGGATTTTGTTACAGAATCTTAACCCTCGACTGAGATAACCAGGGCCCGTATTCATGAAACTGTTCTCATGCTAAAGCATTGAATTTGTGCTCAAGCCTAATTTCTTGTTCCGTTAAGAAATTAATAATAAAATCTCATTTTGTCAATGATTGGAAAAATTTGAAGAAACTCAAAGCCAAATACCGTTTTCAATGTTTTAGATTCCTCTATCTTACCCACAAAGGGGTGAGTGATTCTTATTCTCTTTCCCTGTTCTTCCAATGTGTATCATATACACAATGTAATGACAACGTTACATGCTAAATTCAGGGTTGACGTGTCGTTGATGGATTGTTGACGTGACGTCATTGTATTGTTGAAGTGACGTCATACCATTGTTATGAATAGGGGAATCCCCCGTCTCAACCGTAGGGTGAGACAAGGAATTATCTTACCCTGGACAGGTGTATCCGCACTTTTACCGGTGTGAGATTAATAGAATCGTTCACCCCCTTGAAGTGACGTCATACCATTGTTATGAATAGGGGAATCCCCCGTCTCAACCCTAGGGTGAGACAAGGAAATCCCAGTTTTCTTGTTTCACTCTGATCCTCTGGTGAGTAGTTGGACATTTTACACTGACAATTAGTTAGGTTTTGTTCTACATGTACTAGTTAAGTGATTGTGTACTTTATTACTGTCTTGTCCTGAAGCTTGTCTGTAATCTGTATATTATACTTGTTCTGTCCTTTGTAATTTTATCATGTTAATATGCTTCATTAAATAAATTGCATTTGTACCTGGCTATTAGGCTACTGGTTGATATTTATAGTTATAGTAGACCATTCCTGACCATATAATGACAATGGTATAGAGGAAAGACAAACTATCCGAACTCTGTCAATCAAAAATCCAGGAAGCACACTATATTGGTAAAACAAGAACCCACATACGTCTTCGATGGTGGCCGATGAGACTTTGGCACTAGTCGCTCTTTACAATACTTATTAGGATGTTGTTGAACTTTTATTCATTAAGGTATCGTTCAGTATACCATTACTATCAATAAGAGATCAATTACTACAGGTTCATAAAAGTATGAACAGGAGGAATTTTACTCACATACCACATGAGCGGCCGTAGCGACCGCTTCAACCGGCTTGGACGAACTTGTAAAGAAAAAGAAAAAAACATTGAGGATATAAAGGTTTAGTTTTTGAATTAGTTGTAATGAAGGTACAGTTGCTGATTGAGGACTTCTAAAAGTTTTGTTTCTCCTTAATCTGCTCTTGTGAGCAGGTATTGATTGTTACGTCATCAGTTTGTGTGAGAAAATAACGTCGATTTTTCAAATATTTATGACGTTACTCTCACAAACAATCAATAAATGCTCACGAGAGCAGATGACTCTGCAATACAAAAAGACGAAATAACGAGATAGCATATCATTATAACGAGTTAGAAACTCGTCATAACGACTAAGTATGTCGTTTTAACGAGATATCTATCTAAGTTCATCTTATCGAGAGTAATTACATATACATAGTTAATATTCTTATCATAAATATGCAGGCGTCCATATTCTTACATGTAAATTTTACCCATCTGTACTCCAGTACTGGGGATATTTTGGCTGACTCGCCTAGAGGGTTGCGTATTGTACAGGGTTTAGTGGTCAAATACAAAATGTTACCTGCTTTTTTCCAAATTCAATGTAAATACGTGAAATATCATAGCCTTGACACAATTCAATTAGTACAGAATCCGGACTACAAATCAGAAATGGTAGAAATGCTGAATATAAATGTATATCTAATATAGTGGTATTTCTCAACAACCACTTTTTAAAATGTGCATTTCTTGACACTTGATTTAACAATCTCATCGATGTCCTCGCATCTAAATATTATTAATCGTAATATCGTTTCTCTCCCAGGGAAGCTTGGCTAGATTGGAAAATGATATTAAATGACAACGTTTAATAATTCAATTAATTCCAGAAACTTAGTTATTATAACGATAAACCAACTCGTTATAACAATATGTTTTCTCTTAATAACGATATACCAACTCGTTTTAATGAGATGAAAATAATCATTTGGCTGTCCTGAATCAGCTTGTATTGAGACCAGGCTATTATAGAATACTTTACAAATGAAATCTTAATGATACTTTCAAATGCCATAAAATTCACTGACAGATACGCACTCGGGTCTAATAATGTTTCTTACGAATGTCGTGCAACATAAAACTACATAGCGTCTTCGTTCCATTGATTAATTATTTCTCAGTTTTCAAACTTAGCCAGCGTTGTTATTGGTTTGTACTTATCCCAATAGATATGCTGCCAATAAATGTATATTTGGATCAGAATCGGGTAATGTAAGTCAGTCATGACGAACCAAGGAGGTGCAGTGTACTATATAACATGTGCCGTCAGTACCGGCCAATCGACTTTGGTTAACCGGAAATCGCCAACCTATCTATAATACATATAGAGTTTCGATAGTCCGCTGCCAAATGGAATACTGACCTTATCAGGATCTATAATTATTTTTCCTGTTGGCATATTTATATATTCTGTTCAATCTAATACCTTAAGTAAAACAATTCACAAATGTTCAAAATAACAAATATTGCAACAGTTTTTCTTTTGACCCGGTATTACCATTGCCTTGTTTTGACCCGATTTAAAACACGATCGGAGAGATATCATTCTCATACAACGTCATTATTTATTACCAAATTGTTTCAAAATCAGAGATTGGGTATTTTGGCGTGATGGCGTGGATCTTTTTTTGTGTCAACTTGGGTAAAGCGTATTGATATAATCCTTATAAATACAATTATATTATATTTATATACATTTTTTTTTTAAATCATTAGAATAAATCATAAATTACATTAATATGTTGTATAGTATGTTATTTTATATTATACATGTATATTGTCCATGCTTATTTGACCATTGTTGCAGAACTCGAACTAAAGCTTCGTATTTAAATGTATTTAATCCCCGAAACTTTGAAAAATATCAAAAAATCAAATGATATGAAACTACACTATTTAAAAAGAAAATATCTAAATTTAAAGACAGGAAATAAATACAAAATTGTTTTGTTTCCCTGAAGAGGTTCAGATCGCATCCAAGATGTAGAAGGCTGAGCGGCATCTGCATGTCTCTAGACCTACATACAGCTCCCTGGTAGGGTACCATTCTCCCGGCCCCACGTTTCACGTACATTCCTTAATAAAGGAAATTACTTAACCTTAACTACTAGCTTGGTAGTTTTCTTCCTACAATGTTTGGTACGATGCTATAGTCAAACACTGGTCAGCGTCCAGAAACATCAACGCCGTGAAATTGTATACACAATAACAAGACAAAGGATGAGACAGATAAAACAAAAACGTCACTTTCTGTATATTATTTTATGAAAAATGCATTAACATTAAATTGGACTTTCTTATCCCGCGGAAGGTTATCGCTGTCACGAGTAGTGGATTGATCTTTGTCTGTAAGGGAAAAAAGACACGTGAAACAAACGTCAATGTGTATGGTACAGACTATGTAAGGTAACATAATGATATACAAACAGAACTCGCTAAATAAGAGTAGTTAGACGCAGGTTTGTTGTGATACTCTTTTTAACATTATGTACTTCATGACAGAGACAAGGTTGTTATATATAAATGTTGATAATTATTTTTCAATGTCCGAATCACTGACGTATTACGTTTCAGTTTTTTGACAATTTCTTTCAACATATTTTTAATTATATAGCATTTATAAAATGTTGTCTCGTATTCAAAGAGTCGTATCGCTGTCTCAATATACACAAGGCCCCGGATGTTTCAAGGTTGGTTAACTTAAACCTGTATTTAGTGAAACAATGGCTTTCAAAGCAATATCAATCCTCATAACAGTTCAGTCGCTGTTTAATAATATCAAGTGTTCTAGATGTTCTTGAATTCATATTTTAAAATATTCCCTAACCACTGGTTGAACCTAACAAATCTTTTAGCAACCGAGGCCAGGAACCGAGAAAACACCATTAAGAAAGACACCAACACGAAAATGAATGTATACCATATACTCATGCAGAGTGCTTCCTACGCCGCGCGTGGCACCCGTCATACTGTTAAGTTTAGGATAATGGGTCGGTCACCAATGGTTTATGATGTAATGAGAGCAATCTTATTTAAATAGTACAACTTTATATTACTTTTATTAGACAGCTTGAATTACATTAATTACAAACGTAAATAGTCCACCCTTAAGTTTATTCTATAATCATTATATTAAAACATTAAATTTGCTATATAACCTGATCCTTTACAGATTTATTAGCACATCCTTACATACATGTATATTGTTATACAGATTTAATAGTACATCCTTATATATAGTCTATAGCCAAGATATTAAAACATTATATTTACTGTAAAACTTCAATAAACAGCTTTATTTCAACTGTGTTACCCTTAAGAGAACAACATTACGTTTATTCTGTGGTTTAACTTTATTTATGGTATAATTTTTATAGTGCAATCGTATTAATACTCAAAAAATCTAAATAGTACTATATTACATTACATTAAAACTTTGTAGCTTTAAATAATTTCACGTTGTATTTATATTTTGAAATTAATTAGTTTTAGTAAGTAATGAACAAAGCTGAATATCAATATTATCCGCATAATCTTTACAATAAAGAATTAAATGAAATAAAGAACATAACCATCAAATGTAGTCAGATCGCAAAAATGTCAATTTTGATCATTTTTATAATCAACATTACAAGATAAACGATCCACTGAGCTGATGTATTACTTGGACAATCGTAAAATGCGGCGTTAAATAAATAGTATTATATCATATATGTTGAAATGAATGAAACCTTTTATTCGAGACATTTTTTTCCACAATACCATTTTAGCAAATTGGTAAATGTTATGAAAGAGCAATAAGCCTTTGCTAAACAAACTGTAAAATATATCTATTGAGGTGAAGCGATATTGCAGTATTTTTACTAGCCGTGATATGTATGTACGTTGTGCCGATATTGGGCGGAAAGATAAGGATCTATCAAACCAACGAGACAAATCGAAACAAAACATTTTATTAAAATTGTTGGACATATCCATCTTGCATGAAAACAATCGAATAAAAAGTATTGCAAACTACTTGATCAAACCTACATAAGAAATCCATACACGAAAAAAATTGAAACCAAGCAGACATGGAATATTGTCAATACAGCACCATTCATTGTATCACATGTATAACATGAACGCTTACTGTTATCAGCAGAACAGAAGGAAACATCTAGTTCCAATAACGGTAAATAAGATGGCAACTAAGATAAAACACTGAAGACAATTCTTTCGTTAAATATCACAAGTTCAGAACGAGACAGAACCACACATAAACCTGTTTATTATTAGGGGATTACTTTCTTCTGTGATAGATAAAGACCACTGTTGGGCATCTAAACCGACAAATCCCTTCTTAGAAAACAGAAACCAAACCCTCCGATACTACTTAATCTGTAAGCGTTATATATGGCCTATAAAGACAGCGTATAAGCAACGAAGTAACGTAGACATCTGTCCTGTCTAAAAATCCGGTATTCTCTTTGTTTAAAACCATAAGTCTTGTTTACAGACAGCAGTCCTTATGGACATAGATTTGATCAAATTTACGATGAAATAAAATGAGATGATGTGACAGACTACATTCACTGTCTTAGCATTACAAGGCTGTGTTGAAAAGGAGATCGATCAATTGATAGACTCAACCTGTTTATTTTGATATTGGTTGATATCGACATCTGATATAATGATCATTGCTTTCATTGACTGCAGACATCCTGTAATTTATTAGTTTTGTGTTTGAGTGAATCTATTTTATCTTCTTTACATTGTGGAATGAAGTTAGGTAAATTAAAAAAAAATAAGCTGATTTTAACGCACGGTAACTTAGTAGGGATCGAGGATAAACAATCGGACGCAAAATAAGTCCTTTAAAAGGTTAACATAGAAACTGCATGTTTTTAATTATCAGAATATGTTAAGAAATATAAAACATGCTTTTCATAGTATGCACATACATATTTTACCTTTGTTTTACGGGTTTGGATTCCATGAGGCACTCTATCACGCGCTCGGTTTGTTTCTGAAATAAAAGGGGAAAATGTCATATGTTAAAATTCAGATATCGGGTTATGAAAAATAAATCGGTCATATTTAATTTGGCAATACACGTTAATATACAAGTTAAATGCTATATGGCCATATCCCATCCAATACCATTCAGTTTCCATATCAACACTGGGGTCTCCAGCCGTTGATACGAGGAAGGCTACAGAATGCGACAGCTTATAACTTCTTACTTAGTCTCTAAACACAGTCATTTGTTTCACTGGAAGTAGACCAGGTGCCGGTGTAACGTTGAAAATGGACCCCCGTTGAAAATGGAACCGGGGTCAGTTTTCAAAGTTGAAAAAGGAACCGCGGAGCCGTTGAAAAGTGACTCTCCCGTTGACAATGAACCCCATAGGAGGTCAATTTTCCACGTGTAGGCCGTTGAAAACTGACCCGTTGAAAATGGACCCTTACTTTGTCCGAAGTACCAAAATGATCACATGAAACCTTTGCATCCATCGTCCGACCAAATCAGGTAAGTGTGACCTATTTCTCAATATTTGAAATACCATAACAGAAATTATCATGGGGTTCAGAAATCTGCACATTCTGTTTACTTAAATAAGATAAATTTGACCTGCTTTTGAAAAAATGACCTGAAAAAATGACCATTAATAAAAACTATTATTGAGATCAGAAATGAACTCAGAATTGTTGTTTCATCTAATTCGGTCAATGTGCCCTACTTTTGTTTTTTTTGTTTACCTAGATTGATAGAAATTGCCATTGGGTTCAAAAATGAACTTCAAACTGTTGTGTCACCTATAAGGTAAATTTGATCTACTTTTGAAAAATTAACCTATATTATCAAAACATGCAATTAGGTTTAGAAATGTACCTAGAACTGTTGTTTAACCTAATAATGTCACTGTGATCTACTTTTTAAAATTGACCGAGATTACTAAAAATTGCCATTAGAATCAGAAATAAACTTAAAACTGTTGTTTCACCTAATTAGGTCAATTTGACCTACTTTTGAAAATTGACCTTCATTATTAAAAATTGTCATTGGGTTCAGAAATGAACATAGAACCGTTCTTTCGACTAATTAGGTCACTGACTTAAATTTAGTATGTTTCCGATGATAGTAATATATGCTAACATGATGGTACTCATTACCTCATTGTTCATCCCCATATGCCACGTTTAGTATGCCTCCATACGTATCGTTTGGTAATACATGTATATGTATGTATTGGGTTGATTAACACTTTTTTAAACTTTGTGAGACTATAATAATGATCTAGATATGATATGCGGGATATGAAAAAGACGAGTTGTTGAATATTTATATGATTATTTCATCATCTAAATCATATATGCAATTTCTCTCTCCAATAACCGCTTATGATGCATTATCATATTTTAATGTATGAAAATATGGAAATGCTAGGAGAAGAAACAGCATTTTTATTACTCAGTAAAGTTTAGGACTATTCCTGGAATTTTGTGAAAGGAGAGTACACACTATACTTTACCAACTTAGGCTGAAGTAATACATATATATTTCACATATCCATTATGACCTTTGAAAAACCTGAGTTACAGTTGTCTCCGCATTGTACATAATTCAAACCATTGAAATAGAAATTGAAACTGTCCCTTATTGCCAAAAATCTATTCATATTACACCGGCAAAGCCAAGATATTTCTATTGCTTATCAAATATTGGCAGGTTTCTTGACCAAGTCTAATACAAATCCTGTCACATTTGACAATATTGCAGAGACCGTCGACCAATCAGAAAGCAGTATGCTACATGTAATAAATTATGTTCAGGTTTTGCTCACCTTAAGCTTATTATTTATCATTTTATAATAATACAAATGTTGAATCCGGTCATATTTGACAAAGTTATTGTGCAGAAACTGTCAACCAATCAGAGAACAGTATGATACATGCAATAAAGAATACGCGGATTTTGATCAAGTTCGAACTTTGCCTTAGCCTGTATATAATGTACATGCACAACAGGTTTCATCAAAATCGAACGATACTTAAGCAAATTATTTTGCGGAAATTGACCAATCAGATCACAATAGTCTAATAAATTAGGTGAGTATTTTGCGTAAGTTCGTAAGCCTAAGTCATTGTATAGTGTACATACGTTCAAAGTGTTAAATGATATTTAAGCAAGATAACTAGCGGAAACTAAAGTATGAACGGACGGACGCTCCCCATAACAAAATACGGGCTATGAGTAAAGAATGGACTATTTTGTTTTCAAAGATTGAAAAAAATAAAGAATTATGGAATGATGTAGACAGTATTGGTGATATACCGGTATTTAATTAATTGCAAATAAACATTGTGTAACATTTTTCTCAGTCTGCATGCATTACGTTTTATCTGCATTATTGAATGTATATGAAATTATAAAAAAATATGTCCAATCGGTAGATTAATCAGTATAACACAACATATTTTACATTAATGCTAGTATTCATGCTAAAACTGTTGCAACATACATGTAATATTCTTCTTTTAATATCGCCAAGCAGTAGCGTTTGTAATAAAATATCAAAATGAAATCATATGTTGTCCAGTTACACTTTTAGCTTGACACAGAAGTGCACTCTCTGAAAAGTTACGTACATGTAGTTCTTATATTACATGCACCTCTTTTGAATTATCTGTTAGGGAAGTTAATTTCACTTCGTCTTTTTTGTGTATTCATACATTGTTGAAAGAATTCCCGGCTCAATATTCAAATTTCAACGTTGAATATTGACCCAGGGCCATTTTTCACAATTAATTATTGGAAAGTATTACACATGTAATGCTCTGGGATCAATTTGCAACGTTGAACATGGACCCGGGACCATTTTCTATTGTTGAATATATAAAGAGGACAAAATATTCTGTGGTCCATTTTCAACATTGAATTTTGATCCCGGACCAGTTTTGCCGATTGCTGGGATCTAATTTCTGCCTTTACGCTGGTACACAGGCGAACACACAAAATGTCAAACAGAAAATTCCAAACCATGCTTTTGCACCACTTTGTCCCCCTATAACCCTGGGACCATATTTTATCCATTAAATGCATGTTTCATTTTTGGACCTATCAAGATGTTGACAACCTTTTCAATCTACCAGATAAGAGATAAAAAAAAGATCAAGCATTAATAGAATTAAGGAAGATCTAACGATGGTGGGAGCAAAAATCCCACTTTGGTCTCTTGTTTGACATATCATCATGGAAAAATGACATAAAGTTCTAGGGTCCATTTTTAACGTTAAATATTGACCCACGAACATTTTCGACAATTGAATGTATAAAAACGACATAAATGTAATGTTTCTGGGATCCAATTTCAACGTTGAATAAGGACCTTTGTTCTTTTTTGTCAATTGAATATGGAAAACTGTAATAATTTTCAGGGGTCCATTTTCAACGTTGAATATGGACCCGGGTCATTTGCGTTGACACTTAAATATAAAAAGATGTCATAATGTTCTGGGGTCCATATTCAACGTTGAATATGGTCCCATGACCATTTTCGACACTTGTATATATAAAGACGACATCATGTTTCTGGAATCAATTTTCAACTTTAATATGGACCCGGGGCTACATTTACACATTGGAATTGTGTCGTATTTTTCTGGTGTCGTTTTACAACATTGAATAAATACCTATGTCACTTTTTGACTATTGAATATGGAAAACTCTAATAATTTGCAGGGGTCCATTTTAAACGGTGAATATGGACCCGGGTCACATTTTGGCAATTGAATGTTAAAAGGTTTTAGGATTTTCTGGGGTCAGTTTTCACCGTGGAATAAGGACCCGGGGCCATAACAGTACATTTAATATAGAAAATTGTCGAAATATTTTGGAATTATTTTTCATGTTTAAAGGTCATTTAACCAGTATTAAATTGAAAAGAAAATATGAAAAGTAAGTCACAATCACATTCTTATGTCAAAACAGTAACATAAACGTTGTATTATGTAGTTTGAATTTTGAAAAGTATGTCACAGGAACGTAATTTGGTTAAGCTTCTTTTTTTTTTATTTATGCTCATTTCTGAACCTAAAGAGATTTTTAATAATGTACGTCTTTTTTGAAAAGTAATTTTTAGTATAATTTCTGAATCCTGTAACAATTTATAAAGTTGAGGTGAAACTAGAAAAAAAGAAATTCTCATGGACCTGGCTTAGAAAAAATTATATAAAGTTCTGAACCCTATGACAATTCCTTTAAATATAACTCAAATAATTTGGTCAAATAACGTTTTTTTTTACAATCTCTTTTTCCTATCACGATTTTGAATGATGAAGGCCAAACTTTCAAAATTAGGTCATGGTGACCTAATTTTGTCAAACAACTGTTTAATATTAATTTCTGAACCCTATGAACATTTTTGATAATGTAGCTTAAGTTTTGAAAATTAGGTCACATTGACCTAATTTTGTCTAACATCTGTTAAATGTTAATTTCTGACCCTACGACCACTTTTGATAATGTAGGTCAAATCTTCAAAACTACGTCACAGTGACCAAATTTGGTCAAACAACAGTTACATGTTTATTTCTTAACCCGATGACAACTTTTTATAATAAAGGTCAAATTTCAAAAGTATGTCACATTGACCTAATTAAGTCAGACATCCAGAAATCGGTTAACTTCTAGAAATAGGTCGCAGGACTTCATTTAGGATAATCTGAGTGGATATTTTAAATCAAAGTATTTATTTTTCATATGGTTAATTTTCAACGGGGATCCATTTTCAACGTGTTTGTGAAAATAAATTTGCGTTAGGTTCCTTTTTCAAATGCTTCTAGGTTCCATTTTCAATGTTGAAAACTGACCCCGGTTCCATTTTCAACCGGGGTCAATTTTCAACGTTACACCGATCAGACATGAATCAGTAAGCCCATAGACAAGTATATGTAAACGATGCAATCTTATGAAAAAATTAGCAGAATATGAATACTGAAATAGTATACACTTTTACAAAATAT